GTCTTGTCAAAATACTAAATTCGTTTGACATTTGTTAACACAGTAGGAAAAGTGTAGCAGAGAAAAATAAATAAATACGACATCTGTCATTTAAAATTATAGGCTAAGCAAAATATAAACAAAACCGAGTTGAACGTCCTTCAAGGACAGCGCATCCACACTTTACTCTATCCTTATTCTGCTCTGTCACTGATCGACAACCTGCCTGTTCTGTCTGAGGGCAGTATGTTTACCACCGGTACAGCCTGCTCTGAGCATCGTTATGCACATGCTGCGCACAGACCCCGCAAATAAAATGCCCTGCGCTGCAGCCCATGTTGCCCATTAGTATAACGCGGCACTGCCTGCACCAATCAGAGCACTTGAGTATTCATTGATCACAGCTGCACTTAGTGGAGGTTATGAAGCTCCAGTGGTAGACCAGCGGGAGAGAGACTGATAAAATTCTGATAAAATACCTCCCTGCGGTATGGTAATTTAATGTTTCCTTCTCTGATTGCCCTGCTCTTTGTGGTTTTGCTTTAAGTGGTTGAAGATTGGGCCTTATTTTGGGCTTCACAAGTGGGTGTTTGTGTTCTCACTGCATCTTTGAGGAAACTGCTTTCATTTGAGGTTGCTACTGGTTTCTTTTGGAGTTTAGCGCATCCACACTTTACTCTATCCTTATTCTGCTCTGTCACTGATCGACAACCTGCCTGTTCTGTCTGAGGGCAGTATGTTTACCACCGGTACAGCCTGCTCTGAGCATCGTTATGCACATGCTGCGCACAGACCCCGCAAATAAAATGCCCTGCGCTGCAGCCCATGTTGCCCATTAGTATAACGCGGCACTGCCTGCACCAATCAGAGCACTTGAGTATTCATTGATCACAGCTGCACTTAGTGGAGGTTATGAAGCTCCAGTGGTAGACCAGCGGTTAGGAGACTGATAAAATTCTGATAAAATACCTCCCTGCGGTATGGTAATTTAATGTTTCCTTCTCTGATTGCCCTGCTCTTTGTGGTTTTGCTTTAAGTGGTTGAAGATTGGGCTTCACAAGTGGGTGTTTGTGTTCTCACTGCATCTTTGAGGAAACTGCTTTCATTTGAGGTTGCTGCTGGTTTCTTTTGGAGTTTGTCTCCACCTTGTTTTACAACTGTCTAAATAACCTGAGTGCAGATTGTTAAAAAAAATAAATAATAATAATTGCTTGGAAAAACTGTACCTTCACCGTACAATATAAACAGGTGTTTCAAACTCCTGCTTTTTCATATGAAAAGAGAGAAATAAACATTTTGTTAAATGTAATGTTCAACATGCAGTATTTTCCTTTTCTCCCTTAAGAGACAATTTATTAATGGTTCTTTGAGCTCAGATCATCATCACTTGGTGTGTTTTTTCTCTGCAAAGAAATTTCATCTTGTCATTCTTTCAAAACTCAAATGAAAACTAATATGTTCACTCGGTTATTGAATTATTTATGCAATCTGACTCATTTTTTGCCATCAAATTGCCATCAGTTCATGCCACATTTGTTAGAAAAACAGTGGAAAATGCACATTAACTCAACTGCAATAAATAATTTCCGATGCATTTTCCATAAAAGGGAGAATGGATGCATCCAGAACATACAAAATGAGCCCACATTGACGGTTCCAATCACAATCGAGATTCATTCTTGAAAATATGCTTGCCTTAGCATCAAAATGTACACTGTTTGTTTACTAGATGTCAAAATAATAGAACATTCTTGAGATATTAAATGCAGTATGTGACTGAAAAAAAAAACAGGCTGATAACTTTCTGCTGAAGGGGTTTAGAATTTCTACTATTTTCTTAAATGTTTGTTTACTAAAAAGCCTTTAGCTAAACGTTTTATTCTTGAGTTTTACTGTTTAATTATGTTGCTCAAGTATTAAAAAATTGGATTTTCATACTTACCAGGCAAAGTTGCCCTACTTTGGTCTTTTTGTATTCTTATATAAAAAGTGTATTTTTAATCATGTGGTTTGTCTCTTTGTTATGCCTTCATTCTTTCAGTTCCAGTTTTTTTCCAGCATGCATTGAGAAATGTCCTTGGGTACTTGAAATAGCTATTGAAATAAATAAAATTGATATTTCTGATGGGGGGAACTCATAAAATGGATTTGATTACATGGTATTGAACAGACATGAAGACACAGCCAGACGTCATATGACAGCAGCTTCAGTGTTTGACACAATCGTGTTTTTCAGGTAGATCTGCTCTCTCTATTGTCGCTCATATCAGAGACAGACTGTGCAGGACTATAAATCACACACATCAACAGTCATCATGGACTCAATCATGACCACCCAGCCAAAAAAGAGGCAGAATATGTTCATCAGTGAGGAGGAAAAAAGAGAGAAAACTGAAACCAAGATTAAAGGAGAAACACATGGCTTCTAGGCAGAGTTTAGTGCTGATGTTTAGTAATCATGGCTCCTCGACAGAACATTTTGTATTAGTGGCTGATGATAATGTTTTATTTTGTTATGTGGTTTTGTTCATGATTTTTGAAAATGTGGGCATGTCACACATCCTGTCTATGTTGACATCTGCCTAGTTTGGTAAGTTCAAGTGAAAGTCCGTCTAGGGAAATTGATGGCCTCTGATGTCAATGACAAAAGACATGAGAATCGTTTTTTCCTCTCTTTTAAAAGCTGATAAGCCTGTTTATTTTGCTGTCTTGGCTATGCTTGATTAAAATTGGTTGCAAAGACCGTTTTATGCTGACTTAAAACAATTTCCTCCT